GAACTCTGGAAATTGTAGTTCTGTGGAGGGAATAGGGAGTAACCCCTATTGAATTCAACAGGACTTACTCATGACTAGATATGGTTAGGATTCCTCTGTAGATCACCCTTCCTCAGATGTCAAATTCCTTCTCCGATAAAATGAAGATTAGGAAGCAAATAAGAATCTAAGAGCAAAGAAGAACTAGTTCTCTTAATGCAAAATTAATGCCATTCAAAAATCTGTGTTCTGGATTTGTTTGGTGGGGGGAGGTCACAAAATGGTCACAGTTGGGCTTCTGTCACAACAAGCCCCCTTTGTGCATTAGATCATGATCTAATGAATCGAGCACATGATACATTATTCTGCCTGCGCACATGCCCTCGTCATTGGAGTTGTTTCCTCCTCCTACATTCCAAAGTCAAAGAATAAAGCGACAGAAATGAAAGCTCGGCCACCATTGAGCAGCTTGTTGACTTCCATGCAATGTGTTTGCATTTGAACATCCACGAGTCACAGGGAGCATTCAGTGACTGTACAATACCATGTGCCGTGCTGGAGGGTTGTTAGGTCAAAAGTGTGGCTGATGCTATCGCAAGCGATATTGGCAATGACATCATAGAGCCAGGAAGGGGGCAGAAACATATTTCTACTTTGCAATTCATGCACATGCTTCTGGTGCTTGGATTTCTTTTACATCTAGAAAAAATCTAGGGGCCAATGCAGGCTGTGAAAAGCAAGTGTAATACATTAATTACAGCAATATCTGACTTGCTGTACTTTGCATCTGTGTCTGAATTAAGTCTTATTCTGCAACACAAATGAATGAAATGCTTACTTCTTAATATCCCAGAGATGGAACATTAAAGGGTATGATCCAGATATAGGTGGAATCTACACACATATAAAAACCATTCTGCAAATGCTTTTTAAAAAAAGCATTTTTAAAAATGCATTGAATTTTCCATAAGGCTCGCCATCATCATCTAATTTTACATTGTATAGTGCACTTAAAACTTAAAACATTTCATTTGCAGCTGTATAGCTGAGTCCCAAATTAGTGTCCCAGTAATTTTAATGGGAGAATTGAACCTACAGTATGCTAAAATCTCTGAACCTAGCAAAAGTCAACTCAATATTTTCTTTCTTGTTTGCACAGAAGTTGTGATTTTATATGGATCTCATATTTACTCAATTTAATTCTTTCATTCACCAAATTCTTATAGGACTTAACAAAATAAAAATCTGACTGATTTATTCTCCTGTACTGTACACATCCTAGATAGTTTCAGTAAAGGGCAGTCTCAATTAAAAGCTTTGAAATGTATAATATGTGCATGTTTTTGCTCTGCTGAGTCCCCAACCCCACCTAATTTGCTCCTTGAGAAAGCAGGGTGTATTTTTCCATGGCTGTCTCAACTGCTCAGGCATTCCACAGGCAGCCCTGTGATGAACAGCCCTACTTTCCCCGAGGGAGGACCAGGGAATATAAGGAAGCACAGTATGCTTCAGGCACACTGAAGATCTGTAGAAGCTATTTTCTTAAAAAATGTTAAAGGACAAAGCAAACCTTCCTGAATTCATTGGGAGTGCAATCTTGCTCATTAAATGAAGAAAAAACTACTAAAGACCTATGTAATGTTTTCAGTGGGCAACGTAACCATCATCGTGCCTCCACAATGCCAAGCAACTACCTCCAAGGGTCCCCAAACTGTGGTCTGTAGATCACCAGTGGTCAATGAACTTCATTCAAGTGGCCCTTGGTGTGCCTGTGAAGAACACTTACAATTTGAATTATGTGGGATTCAATCCAGCACAGTGCCTTATAATTGCTACAACAGGCAGGAAATATAATTAAGGGATTTCCCAAGACCCCCAGCAATTTTCAAATGGTCCATTGAAGGAGGGGGAGTTTGGGAATCATGGATCTAGTTCCTAGCCTTGTAGGCAGCTGGCCAGGAAAGAATCCAGTTAGTGTCCATTGCTTGCATTTGCAACTTGAGGCTTATGCAAATCTGCTAGAAAGCAGTTAACATGCATTTAAGGAGAAGGTGATAGTTATTTGTGAGGAAGCATAATGGTTTATTTATCCAAGCAAACATGCAAATATGCAAAGAGATGCAAGTTTATGCTATATATTTAATTTTCAGGGAGGCCAGTTTGCTCAAGGTCTGCCCCCCCCCAGTAATTATATGAAAATTGGGATTTGTAACTACAACTGTTTTCTAACAGATCATATTGACAAGGGGGAAGCTACATGGAGAGACTGCTCAAAAGACAGACTGGTGGGATCCAAAAAAAAGCTCTATAGCATGCAAAGGACTTCTGATAACCTGAATTTTCTATTATTGTTTCCCTTGTGAACAGCTGACTCTCAGGATACAGTCAAACCTTGGTTCCCAAACACCTCTGTTTTGGAACGTTTCGGCTCCCAAATATCGAAAACCTGGAAGCAGGTGTTCCAGTTTCTGAAGGTTTTTCAGAAGCCAAATGTCCAACGCAGCTTCCGCTTGAGTGCAGGAAGCTCCTGCAGCCAATCAGAAGTTGTACCTCGGTTGGTGAACATTTTGGAAGCCAAACGGGCTTCCAGAATGGATTACATTCAACAACCGAGGTTTGACTGTATAGCAAAAGCAGCTTTTGAAACTCTCCTTTGTTTCAAAAACAGATTGCTATGTGGCAATGAATGATGGTTGCCAGAGAAAAAACAAGCCCCCTGCCTTTGGGCTCACAGAAGTGATCTCATGCTCCCTTGGATCCTGGCCACTATTAATTTGGTATAGATTCAGATCTTCTAAGACTTCTTCTGTTCTCTGCTGAATTTTCAGTGGAGCAAGCCTTTGTTTGTCAAGTCCATGAAGTCCTTGTTCTTCGCCTTGCCTATTTTTTTCTTTTCTTTTTTCACTAATTTTTATGCTTTCTCATTATGTAGTATTTGGTGAAGAGGAAGGATTGTGAAGCACATATTTCAATATTCCTCTGCGCATTGTTCCTTCTGAAAGGCTATTCCTTTGAACCTTATAAATATAAAACTGAGGAGGCTGTACACTGTTCTAAGTCTCCACAGATGACGTTGTGGACATCTGTACATTAAGCCTTCACAACTTGAGAAATGCTTAGAAATGTCACTGCACTAGGAATGGATACTGATCTAATCCTCTGAAAACAAAGACCCTTTTTTGTGTCAGAGGGAAAAAATATTTGTGTGAAAAATGTCTTGATGCCAACCTTAGCTGGTATGGGGAGGTATCAACCAAGATGGGTTCAGAATTCTAGAATGTAACCAAGACTCAAACACTTGGCTATCATAGGACTTATCCACACTTATCTGTTCCCTCACTCTTTCCAGGCAAAATCTGTGGTTGTACTGTTGTGTTCAGAATGGAAATAGTCAAGCACTGGAAAACCACAAACAGCCCTCCAGTTCAAGGTTGGTTTGCCAGAATTTGACAAATAGTTCTAGCAGAAAAACACAGACACACAAAAACACACACACATAAGTTCATCAGAACTGGTTTACATGAGATGTCATTGGACAGGATCACTTCCTAGGAATGTGGCCCCCATTTTTCTCTGCAAAGATCCTATGTCTAAAAGAGAATACCTCATCCTTCTTCCACACTGCCTTCTGGAATGTGGGGTTTTCTTGATCTTGGATGATAACACATCAGACTCAAGATGGGAAGTTTCTTTTTGAAGAGCTTAATTTGTGAAAGGTATGAAATGTAATCTCGAATATTTGTGTTTAATATTTATTGTTGACCTGTTATGCTTACATAGAATCTCTCTAGAGCGGTGGACTCGTAATCTGGTGAACCGGGTTCACTTCCCCGCTCCTCCGCATGCAGCTGCTGGGTGACCTTGGGCCAGTCACACTTCTTTGAAGTCTCTCAGCCCCACTCACCTCACAGAGTGTTTGTTGTGGGGGAGGAAGGGAAAGGAGAATGTTAGCCGCTTTGAGACTCCTTTGTGTAGTGATAAAGCTGGATATCAAATCCAAACTCCAAACTCTCTCTCTCTCTCTCTCTCTCTCTCTCTCACACACACACACACACTTCAAAGCAAAACAAAAACTAAGACATTTGGTATTTGCCATACAGTAGAAGACCCTCTGTCTCCCACACATAAAAGAACCTCTGCTGAGAACAACAGCAAAAGAGCACATTCCAATGGGATCAGAGGCTTCTCCAATTAACCTGGTTTCAAAGCACAAAGGGCTTTAAAGGTGATCACTATCACTTTGAACTCAGTTCAGAAACAAATTGGCAGGGAGCGTAAATGTTTCAATGTGTGTGCAGGCATGTTCCCAATATGCAACTCCAGTTTCATTATCTAAGCTGCCCCATTCTGGATCCATTTGTGTTTGTGGACACTTTTCAGCAGGAAGGCCCAAGCATGCTGCAGTCATCCAGTGTTATGTAACCAAGATATGTGTTACCAGTGCTAGGACTGCAGTGTCTAACCATGGGTATCGCTGCATCAACCTCGATTGAGAAAAGGCACCCCTGGCCACGACTGTCACCTGAGCATCCAGGGATGGGGCAGGACCAGAACTACTCCCTAGTTAGTGACAACTGAGTGATGCTGATAAAATACCCCATGCTGTGGGGGTAGCTGTGAGGTTGACTGGCATCCCACAAGTTTAGTTCAAAGAAACAAAAGAAACAGGCTTAGAAGTCTGTGTAGCTCAGTATTGTCTACATCAGGGGTCAGCAAACTTTTTCAGCAGGGGGCTGGTCCACTGTCACTCAGACCTTGTGGGGGGCTGGACTATATTTTGGAAAGGAAAAAAAAAAAAAGAACAAATTCCTATGCCCCACAAATAACCCGGAGATGCATTTTAAATAAAAGCACACATTCTACTCATGTAAAAACACGCTGATTCCCAGACAGTCCGTGGGCCGGATTGAGAGGGCGATTGGGCCGGATCCGGCCCCAGGCCTTAGTTTGCCTACCCATGGTCTACACTGAATGACAGTCATTTTCCAGGGTCTCAGGAAAGAGTATTCCCCAGCCCTTCTTGGAGAAACAAGGCATTGAACCTGCGACCTTCTGCATACAAAGCAGACGCTCACCCAGTGAGCCAGTACTCCTCTCACTTTTTCATATTAAGCTAGAGACAGGCAAAACAGATTCTCCATTTGATGAGCACAATGATCATACCTGTCAACTTACAGATTTGAAAATAAGGGATCAGCAGCCTCAAAAATAAGGGATCAGCAGCCAAAATAAGGGATTTTCCCAGCACAGGTATGTTCAACTTCTGAGCCCCTCCAAGCCAAAGGCAGAAAGCCCAGCCAGCAGCCAAACGAAGCCTCAAGCGGTGGTTCCCACAACACAGCAACCTAGCAAAGGGGATGCAGCAAGGAAAACCACTGTCACCTCTCTGCTGGGAAGTGCTGAGCAAAGGCAAGTCCCCAGGCAACGCGGCCGATTTGATCGGCACAAGGCATGCAAGCTCCACCCCCCCAGTTGTTCTTAGACTCCTTATTGGGTGAGCAACGCAGCCAAGCAACACAGTTGGAGCCTCCCTCCTCCCTGGCTGGCAGGGAGGGAGGGAGAGGAGCTGCTTCCTTTAAAACCCGGGAAATTTAAGGGACATCATCAATAAGGGACAGCAGCGGGACACAACGCTGGGATAAGGGACTTTCCCGCCAAATAAGGGACAGTTGACAGTTATGACAATGATATGTAAGAGCAAGCCTTGTGACTTTCCACTCATGTTCAGGAAAACAGAACTTGCACTAAGGGCACTGAAGGCCTGTTAATAACCTGTTGTTTTCTCACTGAGAAAAGAATGAATTCTTGATGGAATCGGGATAGTAGAGTACTTGCCTTTAGAAAGGGACCTATTTTAGCATATTGAGAAAATGGATTATCGTGGAAGGGTAGAGTTGGGAGTCCAACTCCCTGCAGTGCCGGAATCTCAGCATCCCCCATCCAATTTGAAACCACACCGGACCCTGCTTAGCTTTGCAAGAGAAAAAGAAATCTTTGGTTTTTGACTGCACTTAGGACCCATTTGACGGTGAGTTGTGTGTTTTCATTCTGGTGCTCCTTCCCACTGAAAGGTCAAGGAGAATTAACAGGGACACGTTTCTCCTGTCTCTCTCCCAACAGAGGTCATCATACAGGGTGACCCAAGCAGTTTTTGTGCCAAAACCGGGCCTAAAACCCAATTGAAACAGATCTATCACCATCATTTTATTAAGCTGCCTTTTACATATATAGTTATTTACAGACATATAATAAAAACAGCTAAAATAGGTTTTAAAAGGTTTAAAAACAGTACCAAATGTACAACTAAGGCAGGTGCCTTTCCATCCTTCAAAGAAAGATGGTTGGAACAAAAATGTTGCCAGTTGCTTCCAGAAAACACAGATAGTATGCACCTGCCATTTTTCTCTTTTAAAAAAATAATAATTTTTATGAAGTTTTCAATTTTACATTTCCAAATAAACATTTTACAAACTTTAAAATATCCAGTGACTTCCCTTCTTCTCTTTCCATGGTTCATTTTACATATCATACATCCCTGCATATTTTACTATAAGCATTCAAATCAGTTTTCCACTTTTACATTCATCAAAAATTATTTACTCTGTTGAATTTATCTTAGTGCTGCCAGCGTTTTCAGCTGTATACAGTTATTTTCCATATATTCAATAAATGTTTTCCACTCTTCTTTAAATGTATGTTCTTCTTGCTCTCATATTCTATGTGTTAAATCTGCAAGTTTTGCATATTCTGTCAAATTAAGTTGCCAATCCTCTTTAGTTGGGACCTCACTCCCTTTCCATTTTTGGGCTAACAAAACATGGGCTGTTGACCATTATCTGTCTAACAGACCGTCTGGGCTAACAAAACATGTAACTCAACCATTGTCTGTCCATATTAACTCTCTTAATTGTAATTGCTTCAGTGAGAGACAGCCATAAAGGTGTTTTTCTTTCCAGCAGTTTTTTAAAAATATTTCTCCCAAATGCTATACAGATTCTTCCTAAGAATGTGGTTCATAAAATTCTTGTAGATTTTAGCCTTCCCATACCAGAGACATGCATGTCAGTCAAATTTCAGGTCATGACCCTCTAAATCTAAGATGTCTGCATTGTCCAATACAATCCATTATTTTAACCAACACAAACAGGCTGCCTCATAATACACGCACCTGCCATATCTTAACAGGGATACTATTCCTTAGAACAGGGAAACCAAACTGAGAGCCGTGCTCTGAATTACTGCAGAGCAGACTTCCTATAATTATGGCACATTAAGGAGAAACTGTCATGCACAATGCAGTGACTTACTGGCATATTAGGGATATGGTGGTCAGGTAGGAGACTGTTAACCATTGCAAATCCTGCCAACAATATTTGCATGCTGGAGGTAGCTTGCAGCCAACGGAGCCCAGACCAGCCCCATTTGGAGTGCTAGGGAGATTTTACTGGCATCATCATTGTTGGTTTTTAGGCAGGCAACAAAAACATTTTTATTCTATTGGGCTTTTACTCTGGGGTTGATAGTAATAGATCTTCTTTTTATGAGTTTTAATATTCTATTGGAATTATATTATTGTTTAATTTGGACATTTAGGGGGCTATTTTCTGCCTTGGGGGACCTTGTAAAGATTGGAAGACAATATAAAAATCTTATATAAACATATAAATATGGAAGGTTCGGTGATCAATTAAAAAACAAAAGCAAGGAGCATTACTCTTTTTCTTTCTTTCCTTCTAACCTTGGAAGTTTTTCTTGTCTCCATGTGCCGGTTAGCTCTGAAAGACAGCTGAAGTTGTTTTGCTATAGGTGTTGCTAAGGTGATTTTATGGGAATGAGAGCAGAGTAGTACTTCATTGTTAACTTGTTTACAAAGGAATATGAATGAAATCTCATCTCCTGCAGAAAGGCCAAGTCCTGCTTTTGATTAACTGTTTCAGGCCTAGTACAGAACAGGCTGATGGAATGAATGACAAGACTTCCTCCTATCCAAATCTGATCTGAAAATAAAGGACAAAAGAAAGAGATCAGATGCTGGCTTGTGGTTTTAGCAACAGGCAGGAAACAGGAAACAATATGTAGGGAACAATTTCAGTCCCAGAGCTCTGGCATTGGAAGGAATGAAATTCCATGGGAGGCTATAGCATACTAGCAAGCTGTGTAAATATTTCCACAGTGTTACCTAGTTGTGCCATTGGAAGCAACATTGAGAGACAGAAAGGATTGCTGCGGTGGTGGTGGTTCAGTCCCATCGATCATGGAAATTTTGCTCAGGTTACTGCAGCATCTGTCTGCCTAGGCGAAGTGAATGAATAGACCAGTGGTGCATAATGTTAGCCACTGTGACAATTTCACAAGCGTGAAAGCCACTGGAATCAAAGTATTATCAAGGAGCTCACATGTCACATTTAGCATGCCAAAAAAAATGGGGTTGGGAGGGACACATAGCTGCAAATTTAAGTTCCAGTGGTTCCATTGGTATTGGGAAGAGAGATTTAAATGCATACAGTGGTACCTCGGGTTAAGACACTTCAGGTTACAGACTCGGCTAACCCAGAAATAGTACCTCGGGTTAAGAACTTTGCTTCAGAATGAGAACAGAAATTGTGTGGCGGCGGTGCGGCAGCAGCGGGAAGCCTCATTAGCTAAAGTGGTGCTTCAGGTTAAGACCAGTTTCAGGTTAAGAATGGACCTCCAGAACAAATTAAGTTCTTAACCAGAGGTACCACTGTACTTGATTTTCCTGCCAAAATAAATTGGTCTTTAAAATAAGGTTACCAGATTTTTCCCCAATGAATCCGGGGACACTTTTCAACTTCATTGGATTTTGTATGGGGACTGATTTGTAAATCGGGGGACCGTCCCCAGGAAGCGGGGACATCTGGTAACCTTACTTTAAAATGCTTCATTCCTACAGGATAGCATGCAAAGCACCATTTGTTCTCATCACAGGCATGCAAGTTTCCATTTCACTGAAATGCGTATCAGCCACCAGCTCGCTAGTGGCAGCAGGGGGGAGGCAAACTTCTTGCATGAACAGGTGACTTGTATTGTTGTGCATGGAGGATGCTAGGAACTGAACTTGAGACTTCTTGCATGCAATTGTTGTTGTTGTTTAGGCGTGTCCGACTCTTCGTGACCCCATGGACCAGAGCACGCCAGGCACTCCTGTCTTCCACTGCCTCCCGCAGTTTGGTCAAACTCATCCTGGTAACTTCGAGAACACTATCCAACCATCTCGTCCTCTGTCGTCCCCTTCTCCTTGTACCCTCCATCTTTCCCAACATCAGGGTCTTTTCCAGGGAGTCCTCTCATCTCATGCGGTGGCCAAAGTATTGGAGCCTCAGCTTCAGAATCTGTCTTTCCAGTGAGCACTCAGGGCTGATTTCCTTCAGAATGGATAGGTTTGATCTTCTTGCAGTCCATGGGACTCTCAAGAGTCTCCTCCAGCACCACAATTCAAAAGCATCAATTCTTCGGCGATCAGCCTTCTTGCATGCAAAGTAATGTGCTATTCCACCAACCTATGGCCTTTCCCCATTTTTCCTACCGACGTACCTAATTCTATGTCATTTTGCAAGCAATTACCATTTCCAGCTAATCATAGTAACTATTGCCATTGCTTTTGTGGTTATCCATTCTTCTGCGTCAGTATACAATTGGCTCACACCACCTGTGAAGAAACCAGACGTTGGCTGGCTCATCTGTATACATGTCCACCATTTGCCTTCAGCACCAAGTCCTTACCTTGTACTGTATGTATGAAGAAGCCATCATAAATCAGAGACAGAGTTTCAATATTAGTTTATAGACACAATGTTTTCCACTGGAGTCAGCCAACTGCAAGGCATCAAGTAAGGAAGTGATGCATACACATGAACAGGAGTCAGCCTAGAGACAACTGCACCAATGAAGCAGTCTTCTGACTTGTGCACCAAACAGGGGCTCACAACAAGGCCACAAGTCCTCAGGTCCTGTACTCTCTCAAATGCTTTCAAGAAAACGATTCTTCATGTTTTGTAGCTCAGATGTACCATAGCACAAATAAAGGGATAGAAATGGAATGAGTTCCATTATGACCTGGCTGGCTTGGACA